GGGAGGAGGGAGGGCAGGAGCCGCCCAGCAGCCGGAGTCGTCCCCAGCGCGAGACCCCTGAGACGGCCGCTGATTGGCTGGTGACGGCGCAGGTGGTGGGCGCGCGGGAGACGGTGGCTTCTCTCCCCCCACTTAAAAGATTTTACCCCCCCTCCGCCGGCTGTGGCCGTTATTTCGCGCGCACGCGCACAAAACCGCTGTCGAGGAGCGGGCGGAAAGGGGAGCGCGCGCCAGGGGCACGGATAGGGCGGAGCTCAACTCAAAGCGCGCGCCCGCCTAACGGTTGTTGTCCTCAGGCTTTGGCTTCAGCTTTTTGTTTCCAACGGGCCACCGTCCCTTCCCGCTCCAGTAGTTTACTCACAAACCTGTGCTGCTGCATGTTTTCCCAAAGATGGCGCCCCAGAAAGTTACAGCGGAGCTTGTGGCCGTCCCAAGGGCAACTATACCCCGGCCCCACCCCCATAGCCTCAAGAACCAGGCTGAAGCAACGGAGTTAAAATTGTATTTATACAAGAAACGGTTATACAACGACTGGAAAGAAAAAAAAAAGGCAAAGTGACGAGAGGAGATGGCAGTCAGGAGGGGCTGCCATACTGGCCCGCGGCGAGACCCAAGATGTTCGCCTGCAACAGGAGGGAAGGGGAACAGCGTCAGAGCTGGGGCAGGGCACAGGGGCAGGGCACAGGCCGGGAGAGGCGCGGGGCCAAGCCTCGGGCTCACCTTCAGGAAAGACTCCAGCTGCTTTCCTGACATGACCTTCACACGTTCCAAGTCCTCCACCTGGCAGGACAACAGCCATGGGCAAGCGGCCTAGGGGTACCAGGCTCTTTCCCCCTCAATCACCCAACTCCATCCAGTGCTGCCCTCCCTGGGCCGTTACCTGGCTGAAGGGGCCATGGAGCTCCCTCCAGCCCACGATGAGCTGGGCCTTCTTCTGGCCAATGCGCTGCAGGCTGCGCAGGTCCCGGGCTGAGCCCTCGTTCAGCATGTCTAGTATTTTTTGGCGCCCACGGGCCAGTAGCTCTGGGCTGATCTGTAGCTCCCAGCAGTCCTCAGCCTTTTCCTTGGACTCGGGGGCATCCAGGCCCTCCAACTGTGAGGCAGGGAGAGGTGAATGACAAAAACAGCAGAGTTTGCTGCTCAGCCCACTGCAGGCTTCGGATGCCTCTGCCAAGGATAGCAACCTAACAGCAACTGCCTTCCCCGCCCTCTCCAGCCTCTTTCCCTCCTGTCAATTGTCTGACCAAAAACTTTTCCCTCTGGTCACTCATCTTACTCTCATTTTATCCAACTTGTGAAAGAATGGTTAATGGAATTGCTGTGAAGGTCAAATGAGTTCTCGAACATAAAGCACATAGTAAGCTCTTAAATCTGGCCCCTCATTTCTAAAAAAGAATCAGCTCTTTTCACCCCCAGGAAAGCACATCGGAGAAGGTACTCAGTAAGTGGCACCTGGGGCTGCCGTACTGGCCCGCGGCGAGACCCAAGATGTTCGCCTGCAACAGGAGGGAAGGGGAACAGCGTCAGAGCCGGGGCAGGGCACAGGCCGGGAGAGGCGCGGGGCCAAGCCTCGGGCTCACCTTCAGGAAAGACTCCAGCTGCTTTCCTGACATGACCTTCACACGTTCCAAGTCCTCCACCTGGCAGGACAACAGCCATGGGCAAGCGGCCTAGGGGTACCAGGCTCTTTCCCCCTCAATCACCCAACTCCATCCAGTGCTGCCCTCCCTGGGCCGTTACCTGGCTGAAGGGGCCATGGAGCTCCCTCCAGCCCACGATGAGCTGGGCCTTCTTCTGGCCAATGCGCTGCAGGCTGCGCAGGTCCCGGGCTGAGCCCTCGTTCAGCATGTCTAGTATTTTTTGGCGCCCACGGGCCAGTAGCTCTGGGCTGATCTGTAGCTCCCAGCAGTCCTCAGCCTTTTCCTTGGACTCGGGGGCATCCAGGCCCTCCAACTGTGAGGCAGGGAGAGGTGAATGACAAAAACAGCAGAGTTTGCTGCTCAGCCCACTGCAGGCTTCGGATGCCTCTGCCAAGGATAGCAACCTAACAGCAACTGCCTTCCCCGCCCTCTCCAGCCTCTTTCCCTCCTGTCAATTGTCTGACCAAAAACTTTTCCCTCTGGTCACTCATCTTACTCTCATTTTATCCAACTTGTGAAAGAATGGTTAATGGAATTGCTGTGAAGGTCAAATGAGTTCTCGAACATAAAGCACATAGTAAGCTCTTAAATCTGGCCCCTCATTTCTAAAAAAGAATCAGCTCTTTTCACCCCCAGGAAAGCACATTGGAGAAGGTACTCAGTAAGTGGCACCTCCCCAACCATCTCAGTTTTTAGGTAGTTCTTTCACTGTTGTTTCATTTCTCCAGTGTTGAGGTCATGTTTCCCTACATGGGCTCGTAAGTTTGTAGAGGGCAGGACCAAGGCTACATACATACCATACTAGTTAAGTAGTTACTGAGTGTGAGAGCTTTCAGGAAGAAAGGTAAGTAACAAATAATAGAAAACCACTCTGCTAAGTACAGTATAACACTACACTTCATCCTAAATGCCCTGTGAGTTACTTCTGTATTTAGACCACAAGCAACTTGGAAGAGTTGTAAATAGCTGATAAATATTCTGACAGGTCATGTGATCCCATGGTCATTGCTCTCCCACTACAGGTTACTAACCCTTACTTCTAGGCTCTAAGTATAGCCTAAGCCTCCAGCTACTCTGACCTTTCTCTTGCGGCTTTTCTTCTTCAGGATATGGATGTTAGCATTTGGGGATTCTGCTTGCTCCTGAACTGAAAGAAAAGAACTGGAGTCATTACAGAAGCTACTTTTCACCCTCCCTGATAGCCACTTGGTTCTCCCATTTCTGATTCCCCAGTTCCCCTCCACCCCAAGTTAACCTCTTCTTTTGTTGTGTTTCCACATGACCTTTCTTATACCAGTATTTGAAAGTAATCTCAGTTGGTCTTGTATGATAATCCATCATGCATTTGTCAGTCTACCCCATTGTACTAAATGCCTGAGAGCAGAGAATCAGATCTATTTCAGATCCTCCTCACCCATCCCAGGGGCTCGCATATTGTGGGAAGACATGAGTGACATAAGGACTACTGCTCCTAACCCTCCTCCCTCCTGAGATCTGTTATCTGTGCCCTTCTGGCTGGCCCCCAGAGCCAAACTTACTCAACTGTAGGGGAATCACCACAGCCTTTTTGAGGGGCTTAGCCACTGTGACTGTGCGGCGGGCAAGAGGTCGGAGCATTGTGGGAGAGCAATTCTCTTTCTCTTTTGGGTCCACAGTTTCCTGGGCCCGCACCTTGGCTTCCAGTTCTTTTTGCTTCAACTTAAGCCTCTGTTGGGAAAGGATAAGGGAGAGATGTGACCCAGAACCAATTTTAGGGCAACTTGAAGGAGAGTGGATTAGGAAAGTAAGTATGCAGGGCTCCAAGGCCCTAGAGCAGCGGTCACCAACCAGTGGTCTGCGGACCACTGGTGGTCCGTCAGGTCTGAAAGGTTGGCGACTGCTGCCCTAAAGGGCAGGGTAAAGGCCAATGGAAGCTACCAGGAGACAATTGGAGCCCAATATAACTAAGGGCTTTCTAATGATTAGGGCTGCTCAGAGATGGAACAAGCCTCTTTTTGAAATACTAAAAGGACTATTCAAGCAGAGTGCTAACTTAATTTGATAATTAGGTTTTCCAAAATGGCAACATCTTACATTTGTTCCTTTTATTTTTAAAAAAATATGTATCTTGATTGATTTGAGAGAGGAAGGGAAAGGGAGAAAAACATTAATGATGAGAGAGAATCATTGATTGGCTGCCTCCTGCATGCCCCCTACTGGGGATCGAAACTGCAACCCGGGCATGTGTCCTTGACCGGACTTGAACCTGGGACCCTTCAGTCCGCAGGCAGAAGCTCTTTTCACTGAGCCAAACCAGTTAGGGCCATTTGATCCTTTAACTTGTAATCCCCTCCCCCCCATCTGATCTCAATTATTTTTCAAAGTTAAGCCATGTTAAGGACATTCAAACAGAAGCTGAAAAACTGAAGGACTCCAGAGGTGGGTGAAAACTGGATGCTGGTCTAGCCTTTCAGTGAGTGTCCTTCCTTATCTGAAGATCCTGATTGCTTCTCAAGGGAAACAGGGACCCCAGCCCCCACCTTTCTAACACTTACTTCAATCTCCAAATCCTTCTCCT